AGACAGCAATTTGAGGAAACTTGGATGGCTCTTCTTGGTGTTTTAAGTGCAACTCCACTAGGAGAAATAGAAACCCCAGAGGTACTGATAATTAAAAAATATATATATTAAAACATGTTGAGTATGTTTGAAAACTCATATTTAATTGAAACTGTTACTCAAATTTTCAAATTTCTCTTAGGTTGAAGGCTTTTGGGAAAGCAGCTAAAAGTTTGTAAAAAAAGATTTTAACATGAGAAAGCATAAAAAGTTTCTTTCACAAACAAAAGTATTTGTTTATTTTAAATAAGGAATTGAAAATTCAATAATTTCTTTTATAACTTTATATTGTAAGAAAAGTCTGTCAGTAACGTAATTTTTTTACTGAAACTAACTTTATTCCAAAAGCTCATCAGCTTGTTAAATTCCTTTTTAAAAAATGATCCATTTGTTTTAGCCAAATCACATTCAGAAATATCTTGTTTTTAATTTTTGCTAATACCTAAAAGACAATTGCAAATTAAAATATTTTAATATGCATGATTTTGACATTTTAAAAGCATTAATAATTGTGAATTTAACCCTTTGAAACTAGCAATTTGAAGTTTGATTTTTGAAATAATAAAAAATGGAAGAGTAAATGTGTAATTAACACACTAAGATTTTGCTTTTCAATTTGATGTAGGAGGAGCAAGAACGAATTCACACTAGTTGCTTAGCTGTCAAGTGTATCACTTCTCTCTTGCTGCAAACTATGCTCTTGCCACAGCCTGGTAATCCCCACAACAGCACTTATCTGTACCAGCCTCGAGACAAACCATTAGCTTTCCTGCATACCAAGTGAGAAAAATTACCTAATTTTTGTTCATTATTTACATCTACAGTATTATTGTACATCCCAATGACCTTGTTTGTCAATAATACCTTGATAAAAGCAGTTAAACCTATTTGGACTGAAGAGGTGTCACTATCCCCCAATTTTTTTCCTTCTCATTGCATGAGACTTTGTACAGACTTTCTGAATAATATCTATTTTCTGGTTACTTAATACATATGTTATTTGATTTAGCATTTCTTTCATGTTTAGGTTTTGAAATTTCAAAAGTTTTATTTTGAGATGCTGTTTTGAAAAAAAAGAAAAATACTTCCTTTCGTCTTAGAATATTCTTATTTTTGATTAGAAGGTTCCATTTTATATATCTTTATCTCATCATTTTGATTTTTATTTTTTGTATACCTATACCATACCTATGTATATGTATACCTATGAGGCCATACCAGGATCACATAAGGGCTACAGGTGCAGTAGGCTACTGATATCTGTGGAACTTAGCCCTTAGAAATCATACCAGCAGTGTTAGGGGGCCTCAGAAACAAGCTTCATCGAGCCATTGGAGTTCATGTATCATGCTCAATTATCAGGAACAGGTTCTGTGAGGCTGGATTCAGGACTAGGATACCAGTTAGAACCCCTGTACTAATCCCAAGGCACCAAACAGCCTGGTTGGCATTTGCCTAGAAACATGTCACTTAGGCCTTTCAGCAGTGAACCCTTGTATTGTTCACAAATGAGGGTGGGTTGTGTGTATCTTCAAGTGATCAACACGTGAAGGTCTGGAAGCATGAAAGAAAGTTATATTCAGTCTGTAAAATTGTCCACCATGATGCTTTTAGGGATGGCTCAATCATGTGCTGTGGTCACATATGCATGCAGGGGCTGACAGACCTCTATTTTGTTGGATAGAGGATCCTTGACAGCAAGATGTTATGTGGATGAGGTCCTGCTAACCATTGTTTACCCTTTTACTGCTGCTGTCAGAGATGAGTTTGTGTATCAGTAGAATAATGCCCATTCTCACACTGCCAGGATCATGCAACAATTTGTTCAGGATGAAGGAATAGAGGTATCAAATTGGCCTACTAAGTCACTGACCTAAATCTAATTCAGCACTTGTGGGATTTGTTAGGGAGAGCAGTTAAAGTACAAACCAGTGAAAGCTTTCTTACAGAAAATTTCTATTTCAAATTGACCATCTTTATTGTGGATAAAGAGGTTTTAGAATGGAATTTGATGGTTGTGTTGATGTTTAGCGGTAGATTTAATATTGGGATGCCTACTATTAAGATAGTTTAAAAACTCTGAACAAGTTTGGCTTCTCTAAAAATAATAAAGGTATCATACACATATCTTTTGTAATATTCTTGTTTATATGGAGAAGGACATTCTTTAAGCCAACATTTTTTATGATGACAAACAAATTACTGAATGATGGGGTTAATCTAGGTCTCATAACAACGTGGATATAAATATTTTCAAAAAGAAAGTGGGACTCTGGTGGAAAAACTCATAAGTTTCTGAAACACATGCTTTAGAAATCTCATTTCATTATTATAATTTTGATACAAAATTTCAGTACATAAATTTGTAGTCATATTTGATGGTGTGTCGTTATAAAAGAACTCTGTATCAAAACTAGCGCAATGTCCATCATTATTAAAATTCAGTTTTTTATTTCATGATTGCATGTGTCTCTGGCAGATGCTATCAGTCTAACAAGACATCTATTTTTATGAACTTTAGAAATTCATTACATGATACTAGAATATGAGGGCCAGTTGGTTTTATTTTATAATATTCATTATCAGTCAATGAATTATTCTTTTTTAATTTTAATAAATGTCCTTTTAATTTACCTTACTTTAGCTGGATTATGTATAAAAATCTCTTTGTTGAATTTTCTGATCCTGTTTATTTTTTCTAATTTATTATTTTTACAGTTTACAAAAATTCTATTATTTTGTGTATTTATCCATTAACCAAATGTGCATAGGCTTGGTCCATTGGACTAACCACATATTTCACAAGGAGTATTGACTAAAATATCGAATTTACCATGTGCATCTACGTTAAATAAAGTAAGAAACTTTTAATAAAATGTACAAGTCTGTTGTACAAATAAAATTACACAATACCAATACAATATAACACAGATACACTTTAACTTAACACCTTTAACACATCATAAATAATCTAACTTGCTTAAACCATCCTAGATATCTCAGCTAGTTACACAATAAATTGGAACATCCAATACATCATGAATATTAACTTGGTAAACCAACAGCTAAAATATCATACATGTAACTTAATTAACTTAAAGAATTAAAACATACCCCTTCTAATGTAGTTACTAAATGTTTACCTTCCAAAACCATTGCAGGCCTGCTTGTCTTTGAAGCATACCTACAAGTTTTTGGACTGAGGTCAGTCCATCTTCAGGTAGAAATACAATCAGATTAGCAAACAATATCAAATTAATATATCACCAACACTCAAAGATTGAACAACAGTAAATAAACCACAGTTTTGCTCATTCAGTTTCTTTCTTTCCTTTATTCACAGTTGGTCTTAGCAAGGATTTTAAATGATCCTCTCTTTGTGGGTTCATTACATTGTTTCAGTGCATGAGCCTGCTAATTTAACAGTAAGTAAAAATACTATGTAAAATAATCTAACATAAAAAGTTTAGGAAATTTGTGAGAGTGTTACATGTATTCACTTGGTCACTAGCTCTTGCTCATCACTACCAGTAAAATCAGAAGGGAAAATATCTGAAAGTTTGTCATGTGCAACTTATTGTTCATTTTAATGGGTTGTCAGTTTTAATACAATGAGTAGTTTTTATGTTCTATGCATTAAACATCAAACTACCTCTATCAGCCAATCAGGAGAAATTTAATCTGAATTAATTTATTTATGTTATAAAGAAATACATTTAATTCTATTACATATAATGATGTGGCAAACAGGATGATATTTGTATCAGCTTAATAATTAAAACAAGCACTGTAAATAATTGCTTTGATGCTATCACTGGAATTAGGTAATAGTTGGTTTACTTTGACTTCATTTTAAAATGACTTCTGGACAGTGAAATTATGATTACATTTATTTAGTCTAAGAACTAAAGTGTATTTTGAAATAACATAAAAGCAAAGTGATGTATTTATAGAAAAGTTGTTTTTATAAAACCAAATCATAAAAAAAATCTAACATAATCTAGCTCAGCAATGTGCTGACCTTCGTAAGTAATAATCAGTAGTTAAAATCCTAGGATCATTCTTTCCTCCCAGGCTCAGAAATATGCTTAAGGACTTGTGATGCAAAAAATTGTGGTTTGACATCCAAGTTGTGCACATTGTACACAGAATATTGTGTAACTTTGTGGTATATGACACTACCATGTGCTTTCACTCTAGCTACCTATTGTTCCGTGTCATTCACCTGATATAACAGCTTTTGTATTCCCATAAGAAAGCTGTGAGGTTGTACATAGTATGTGAAGTTAAACAACTGTCTTTTCCTTTGGCAGTCATGTGATATCATGAGGTTATGGCCTCCTTTATGTTTCAGTGGGATTGGTCAACATTGACGTAGTTAGAGCTTGTATCTTCAAAGGGAAAGCAATGTAGAATTGTATATATAATGTTGTACTCTAATCTCTCTCAAACTCAAGTCCTAAGTTTGTTAGGTTTGTTTAACTTCTTCCTTTAAATAGTAACACTCTCTTAAACCTTAATCTATGACATTAAGTTATTCTTAACAAACCACTTAACTCTTTAACTAGGAGTAGGTCAGTGTGTGTTCTTGTCATGACCTTTTACAGTTACATTCAAAATTTAATTAAACTATTTTATCATCAGTGTATACAAATAAACTTAACATCTAAATGTACATAATAAATCAAATTTTAATATCATATAATTTTAATTTTATAAGGAAGTATTTAAATATATTCTTAATCTTTCCAAGTATGAGGATTGTGACATTTGTTCTCTAGGTCCTTGCACATCCTCTAATTTATTTACCACCCCTCTTTGAAGTATGGAATTTAATGTAAATAACTTATTATAATATAGATATTACTAAGGCAAAGTTTAATTTTTATAGTCTTCGATCTTTTTTTCTTTATGAAATCATAAACTAGAAAATCAGATTCACTTGCCATGTTCTCATGTCACACCCTGTCTTCTGCAAATAGCCAATAACTCTCTCTGGTGTTGTGTATTATATCATTTATAACCAACAGAAATGCCACGTTTTAATCTATTGAATAATATATA